TTTTTTTTTTTTCATTAAGAAAATATATCAAAATTCATTGATATTACACTTGCTTATAATAACTGATTTAATTTTTTGAGCATTTGTCTCCTTTCATATTCACTACATCAAGAAATTGAATTACATCATTTTAAGTAAAAATTATTATTGCTCAGTATTATTAGTCTACGACAAAAAAAGTTGTCCACTCATCTCTAATGTGAGAGTAAGCGTAAAGCTATTTATATTTGCGCAAATTAAATATTATGAGCTAATTAGTTGTCGCTCATAAAATTAAATGAATAATTTTTCGTTTTTTTCTTTTTTAAAAAAAATGTCTTTTATAAATCAGTATGCACCAGACACTTACATGTTTATTAAAAAATTGAGAAATTCTCAAAATAATACTGAATTAGTTCAAGCAATTGCTGATAATTTGAATACAAAAGAGAAACAAAGTTAATTTATATTTTAGTTGATGAATTCGCTATCAATCTTTTATTAAGTGCAGCATAATTTTGCAAAATAAATATTGCCATCATTAACGTTTTATTTAAATTTTATTATTTGCTCACACAAACAAGCAAGAAAATTTGGGCATTTTTTGTTTTTTTAATACAGTATAAAAAATGGTTCAGTCAAACAACAAAAGCTTAAATTGATTTATTCACTACGTTTTGATTTTCTTATAAAAATTTTAGTGATGCAAAGCTTAAATTTTTTTTTTACAGAAACGAATATTGTAAAGTATTCTAAGACTCTCTAGTAAAACTGTCAGAAAAAAAGGTGAATAAATAAAAAAAATTTTTTTTTGCCCATTTTTTCGCTTGAGATTGAATTAGTGATTTGATTAAAAGACGTATGTTAAGCACACTTATAATACATTTACAAATGTTTTCAGTATGCGCAATAAGTAATGCTATGATCAACAATTCAATTTTAAAAAAGCAATCTAATATTTATGCAATTACTCAAACAAAAAATCAGATATCATTTCGTCGTTGTTCAGTAATTGGAACAACTCGAACAGAGGAAAAAAATTTGGGATCAAGACAAAGTTGGCTTAAAAATGCGATACGGTAATCGTTACTTCTCCAAAATAATACATAGTAATTGCTACCATAACTTAATAGCACTAGAAGTACAATATAGGTGGCAATTTTATCCTGAAAGATAAATTCAAAGTGATGTCAGCGAGTATCTAAAATAATTTGTTTAATCTTAAAAAGTCACTGTTATTTATTCAATTGCTGTTCATTTAAAACAGACTCAAAGCAATTATTAAATAAATGGTTTACTTTTGACAGCTTCCACAAAGCTTTTAGTGCAACGAAAATCCTCTTCACATTGTTTTCAATAAATTATATTTATCATCTTATTATTTAAATTTACTTTTTTGGCTTTTATCAGTAAAATCAACAATTAATACTGTTAATATAATTATTACTGTAATAACAATAATGATAATAGTAATTATTATTATTATTATAGTTATTGCTGTTATTATTATTAATTATTATTATTGGATCGAGCGGACATCGTGGTATACGATAAAAAGCGACGTAAGTAATTCTGATAGAGGTTGGCATCACTAGTCAGGATAGGTTGATAGCAGTCGAGACCGAGAAGAAGCGAAAGTACGATTTAATGGCTAATAAACTCGGGGCAGAGATGAAGTGCAGGACGAAAATAATTCCATATGTGCTAACTTGGGATAGGATAGTGACGAACTTTCACAATTGTTACGCGAAATAAATCAGTATATCTGATCACGTAGGTGCATATGTCTAGTCGTTAGTGCTCAAGAAAACGCTCGAAAGCATCTCATTCGATCAGCGACGTAAATTCGACGGGGACGAAGCAGCGGAGGTCAGCACACCAGAACTGAGCGCGAAGTGAGTGCAGCGAGAATGCCAGAATATGATTCAGCGCCAGAATCAATAATAAAAAAAAGAAGAATAACCTCCGTGTGATACTGAGTAATAATTACAATAATCAATATTGCCATTACTATTATCGCTATCATTCTTTAAATCATTATTGTGATTTCAAATGAATGCATACTACCAAAAAATTCAAAAAATCTTTACTTGAGCGAAAGATTTGCATTTGGTTAATTACCTCTAATTGTTGTGCAATTGGTAAATATTTTGAAATGCAAATTATTACTGACGGGGATAGCATATTTAAAGCGCAAATAATTAAAGTGATAAAAACACTCTTCTTAATTTGAGTTTGCTGGCTCAGATTTGTAGAATTGTGTAATTCTGCAAGATAAATTCTTGATCTCTGTTAACATAATGATTAAAAATTACTTTAAGCAACTAAAAAAGGTACAATTTTTCAAGTACAAAATTAATTTTTCAAATAATTTCTCAAGTAAAAAATTACAATTAAAGCAATAAATAATGTTTCAGTGAATCAAAGCATATTTTGCTGAGACAAAGGAAGAGATTAGGACTTTAAATATTTTAGAACTGTTATTGAACATGAATTCATATTCGAAGACAACAAAAAAGCACAAAATTTGTAATCTTCAAAAAATATGAAAAAAAAGACGAAATTTATCTCACGAGTCACTTTTTGCTTTCCATACCATAAGAGGAATACGCAAGAAGCATTTATTAGAACGATAATTGATGCAAGTATCACAACACAATTAATCCATACTATTGATAACTTCTGAGAATATGCTAATGGCGGATTACATCGTAAAATCGGCTAAATAATTAACGGATTTTAATTTCTCCATTTCAACCAGGCCATTCATGAGTAAATGTTTTCTGCTCAATATGTAATAAAAATTTGTAAGCACCATTTTTTCACAGAACTTTAAAAGATTATAGCTTTAACAGGGTGAAAGTAACTGTGAAAATTTTTGCAGTTATTGCTTTGTTATATTTTTCGCTTACTATGTCAAATCGTTATTAATTTATTGCTCAATTAAAAATTTCATGAAAATTTATCAAAAAATAGTCTAACCGAGTTGTCGGTAAATGTAAAACCAGCTATAACAAAAATTATCCCATAAATGAATCCAGTAATTGAAGTAATAATAAGATAATATTTCTTTCTGATTGTCCGATATCTGAAAAAATACATGCAAAGATTGGCAAACTTTTTAAAATTGTTGAAAATATTATCGTTTATTTCGATAATATGAAGCTTGCAATTAAGATTGATCAGTATTTTAATTTTCCTGAGTATTTAGATATTGTATTTTGCGATATTGTTTAAAAATTTTCATTAGTATGTTACGAATAAATTTTTAAGCATGATGACTGGAAAGCTTCGAGTTTTTTTTGTGAATTTCAGCAATTAGTTAATTTCAGAAGTCATTCGTAATTGAGTCATATGTATAACTTAGCATTAATGTTATTTTTTAGCAGATACTTTTAACTTTGGAAAAAATTTCACATCAAAATTGGCTAAATAATTTCTTTATACAACGAATTATTTCCAAATGGCACATTAAATAATATTTTCGAAATTTTAATTCGTTTGAATCAGAAATAACGCTTGATAATTAAATAAAGTCAAAAGTAAATTTACAATATAGAACATACCTACCTGAATTTTCTGAAAGAGAAAATTTATTTAAATTAGTTTTCATTAAATCATAATTCTACGATAGTTATGAATAATAATTCAAAAGATAACCTTAGAAAACAATAGCAATACAGCAAATCTCATCTATAAACTTCAGAACTGAAACATCTTTACAACATCATACTATGTTCTATATTGTACATTTACTTTATTTAGTTATCAAGCACTATTTCTGATTTTTATTCTTTTCATGCTCTTGCAGCATTTGTAAGTAACTTTTACATACAAAAATCATTAAATGTTCTTCACAAGCTAATAATTTTTTTTGCCGCTCTTTTTTCCTTTACAAAATTTGATTTAAAGGTTTGCATTGATAAATTGACACTTTTACTTAATCATTTAAATAATATCATAATGATATCACGTCATTAAACTTTAACTATACTAAATTTTGGCAGTATTTATTTTGTGAAATAAACTGACTACCTTCCAGGTAATTTAACTGCTATCAGTCGATCAATAGCCAATGAGAGAATTGCAATCAACGAAAAATTGGACGAAAATTGATAAAGTGCGACAAAATTATAACAATCTCTCCGAGTGAGAATCGTCATTCCAGCTAGCATGCGAAAAGAGATAACTGCTTCGTATAAATCGTTAATCTCCAGAATTATGAATATTAATTTCATGCAAGTCATATTTACCGTAATGAGATTTGAATGATTAGTCATAAGTTATTAGCTTTACTTCAAAGGAGTATAAACTATAATTTCAAATGTTATAATAGTGCTTGAATAAATTTACGACAATAATTTTAGAAATACTAAATCAGCTTATTTCTAGTTACTCTTTTGTACTTGTAGTAATATTGAAAAAAAATAAAAGAAAAATAATACTAGATCTGTAAAAGCAATCATTCCTATCAAAATACCATTGCGGTGATGGAATTTTTGCAATCTAATCGTTGCAATCACTAAATTTAAATTTCCAAAAATTCCAAATGCCAGAAATGGTATCATTGAATACTCTAACAAATGCAAATAATCCATCGATTAAATTATTTAAAAACTGCACAGCAGTGATACAGTCTTTAGTGTGGAAAGCGATCAGTGTGTTATTTCTGAAGTGTATTATTATTACTAGAAATCTTCTAAATTAGTAAATTTAAAATTGTTGAAGCACAATTCTTTTGGCACAAGCAGATAATTTTTCTGAATTAAGGATCATTTCAACATTGAAATATAGTCATGTCATGAAAGAGTAGAACTTTTTGTTAAATCGAGGAATTTTTTTTAATTTTTTAATTTCTTTGATGACAACTACACCTAATATTGAATATTTGATAAAATCTATTCTTGATAAAAGTTTTTTGCAATTTATATGAAAATATCCGTAGAGTAATCGTGATTAACAGTATTAAATGTTTGATTTCAGAGTTATTTCTAATCAAATTACTAAACACAGCGTTGTTTTTAACGTCAGCCATAAGCTTTTCTGTTAAAAGCTTTATTACAACGAGAAATATAAAAGAGTGCAGTAATTAATTAATTAAAAGTAAGCGATTAACGTAACATCAACAGTAAAAAATGGCAAATGCACAGCTGGAAATAAAAAAATCACTGCAACCAATGAAAGGTCAAAGTTAAAAAGAAATAATATCAAGCAAAAATTGAAAATAGTTTAGTATTCAAATAGAAAAATTAGAAAATAACTGCAGTATAAATTTGTTAGGAGTTGAATGCAAAAGTGTATATTTATCATGCATTTCATATTGCAACAACTAAATGCCATGACTGAACGAGAATTTGTGAAAAATATAAGTAATGCAGCAGTCAAATCAATCTTATTTCAGTGCTTTAAATCAAAAAGTAAATTAATTACTAACTTTTCCAATTTTATTATATTAATTCAAATAAATTTGTGCCACCTAATTGTGCATTTTCGTTCAAGCCTTCTCTAATAATTATTATAGCAGTATTTTTGAGGATAATATGAAATTTTACACGCAGAATGATGCAGTAAATTTAAAGCTACAGCGAAGTTTATTTCAAATATAATAATATTTTAAGGTTTATTTATTTTAGAACAACAATTCGTTTTATTATTGCATGTTATCACTCAAGAATTTCAATACATAATTTTTAATTACATTGCAGTATTAAACTTACAAATTCAGATTTATTGCCATATTACTTTTTTCAAGTTTTACATAATTTTAAACTTTAATATTGAAGAACAGACAACAATTTACCCTTTTTATTTCAAGAATTTTAACTTTTATGTATAACATGAATATAACGCTAATCATGCGAACCTATAATGAAATTGTGCTCTTCTTGATGTACACGCAGTACTTTTTTGATCTTCATATGTTTAAAATCAAGATTTCATCATAAATTTACAATATGGAAGATTTGGTGTAGGTAGCAGATGATGCCAGCAAGAGAGCTTGCTACATTTGTTTAAAGATTCTGCTCGAATATTAACAGCATTTCATGTTTCCATAGCAATAAGTGTTGTTGTTTTTGTCATATGTAAAAATAAAGTCAAAAATGAGAACTACTGCTTCATCACACAAATTTAATCGCATTTTCAAATCGACAATTATTACAAGACCATTAAGAATTGATACTGTCCGGCCTAATAACAATTATCAATGACCAGTCATTAACAAATGCCAATAAACTTGTCAAATTTTAGGAAATGCAAATTTTTGCTTTTGCCGCAATATAATTCACTCCTTAATATATGCGAAAAATGATTTTTTTGCAGTACGACCAGACATATCCATCGACATTTAAATCATTCTGCCCTTTTCGTCCGTGCATTCAGTTTTATTCAAGTAAATTCTTATATACACTTTTCCATTAATGCATAATTTAAAAATTAACAACAACCAATTGATAAATCATAAACAATCTTTGTTTATTCATTTGCAATTTATCAATTCATTCTACTTCATTTTTTGCAATCAATAAATTTACAACAAGTAATAATAAGTCATTCATTTTCAACAAACAAGTCTTTGTCTACGTAAACAACAAAAATTCATTATATTTCCTAAATCTTATTTATTATAGCTTTTTTTCCATACTAAATATTTGTAAAATTTGTACGCTTGGAAAATTTCAGTGAAAAGGAATACACATTTTAGCATTGAAAATGTTTGCTACATAAAATGTTAGAATGGAGTCACATAACCATCTGATGAGATCAATCATCACGTAAAGTGATCACTTTAGTGTCATTATCTATTTACTACAAATGCATTATATAAATAAACCTCACATATAATTAATTTTTATTTCAAGGAGTAACGAAAGATGAAAACAATCAGCAATATGTGCTGAAATGATACAAGAAGTGATAAAATATTTGCAGGAAGCAACAAAATAACAGTGATAAAATAAACAAGCACCAACATTATTCTTTTCAATATATGAGTTCTAAATTTAATTTTGCATTAATTTTCAAATTTATTACACTCAACAAAAATGGCATAAATAGTAAAATACTGCAAAAATTATTTGAATTAAAATGAACTAAAAGAATGTTCATATTTACAATAACAAAGCAAATGATGCTTAAGCATCTTAAAATATAATTCGTCCACTAATGCACATGATTTGGGAATCAGCAAGGCTGATTATGAAAAATCAAATCAAAATTTAAAATTTAATATTATGGAACTTTGAAATCAGAAATTAGATATTTGAGGCAGATATCGACTTTTTTAGATTATGTATAATTGTCAGAGACACTGATACATCATGTTTTGGTCAAAAATTATACATAAATGCATAAAACAAACTGATTACATTAGTAAACAATTCTTTATAAAGCTTCAAAATTTGAAGTAAAGGTATGCAACTATTCAGCTTCAAGCGACCTTGCCAAATTTTACGTGAATTAATTTTTTAAATACTGACTCGTAAATATGGATAGGTTGAATCATACTAGAAATAAAACAAACAAATTATCGTTTAATTTTTGCAGTTTTAATCAAATCATTTATCCATCTGTGCTGCAGTCGTGAAGTGTCGCCGACGTGGATTTTCTTTCTCCACCGTACTTGCTGCTACTTCTACAGCACGTGTTTTATCAAGATCAATTTTGGCATAATTGACAATTGATGGTAATCTTGGAGGAAAGTTAGAATCATTACTTCGTGCAATACATGCAGTAACTCTGAAACTGCTATTAGTAAGAATATTAATGAAGAATGACAGCTGATTTTTTTTCTATCTCACATTTTCGTATTGAATAGTTAATCTCAGTTCTTAAATTCATGCATGAATTTTTAATCTTACATTTTTAATTTAAAATTCCAATGAATTACTCATTAATATAAGCCTGAAAAGTCATATTTCTTCTTTATATTGTCGCTTAAATCATACTTTACACTGACTGATGAATCTTCTTCAGCATTACCACTTATTGCTACTGATGCATAATCAAGTTGTGGTGGTGTTGCTTCACGATCACTAGCATTTGAATCCTAAAAAATGATAAGTAAATTTGAAACAACTTATTGCTAGTTATTTCTACCAGAACCAAAAATTATATCTCTACTGCTAATTCTTATTATAATATGCTGTTTTAAAAAAATTTTTAGATAAAAGTTTCCACAAAAAAGTTCAGCTTAATACTGGAATTTACAATTAAAAAAATCGATTCTGAGAAAAAACGTAAATTTTATCGTACAACTTTTAAAAAATTAATCAATTGCAGACCCAGAACTTTATGTACCCTTTTATTCAGCGCTTGAACTTAGTAGTGGAGGGATAATTTATTTCTGTACATTTCTTAAAATCCTAGTGAACAGCTGGAATTAATTTCTGTAATTTTTTAAAATTGAAAACAGCAATGTCTTTATTATCAAAAATAAATTTCTTTATCAGCAATACTTCATTCATTTGCAAACATGCAAAATTTTTCGGAACTGATTGACTTATTCTTTGTTTATTTCAATTGTTGACTTTATGCTTGTGTTTGTTACATATTCGAGTGCTATTTGCAGTAGTTTAGCGACTAAGAACTAATAAGTCTCAATATTTATTTCGAAAATTAAGAAATTTTAATTAGTCTAGCAAAAAAAGATAATTCTACTAAAATAACTTGTTATATGCTATCAAAACTTCATACTGAAAAATGCGTAATTAATCAGAATCAAAAATAGTAAAAGCAACCTACATTGCCTATATAGTAACGATTAATTGTTCAAATTTCATTAAAAAACTTGCTTGTTTAGCATTCACGTAAGAATTCATAAATGGATTGCTGTTAGAGCAGAAAAATCCATAAACTGGGGAACAATTTGATATTCCAGCAGCAGGAATGCTAAATCTTTGATGTGATCTTAAAGCAGCTACACCAAGATTAAGATTCTGTTCCGCTGAACCACTGAAAATAGCACCAGCATATGTGACAAACATAAAGCACAAAATCAATAATTAAAATAAGCAAAAGACTATAAAACAAATTTAATTTGTCAATCAATTCCGAAACATTTCGTATGTTTGCAATTAAATTAAGATTTGATAATCAAAAAATTTTATCTGTAGGCAGAAAGAAAATTTTGCTGTTTTCAACGAAGAAAATTACAAGCATCGTTGTGAATATAACTGTTTTCGGTTGCTTGAAACTTACAAAGTAAAATGACTAGCTGATCCATATTCTCTTAGAACAGGTGATAAACAGTGAGGTGATGAAGTGGCAGAACGATGATGCGGTAACACATTGACATAAGGATGATTGTAAGAAGGATTTGATTCAGATGGCAGTTGTTGAATTATATGCTCATTACTATAATTCGGTTTTTTTTCTTGCATTTAAAAATTGATTGATAAGTATTAGTGCCAGATATTTTTTACAAATGCCACATAATAAATCCTGGGATGGATTAGAATTAAACATGAATGGATCCTTTCATAATTTTGTTTTCCGGTTATTATACTTCAATTGTAACTAAGCTTCGCATAAAATAAAAATAACAATTTTGAAATTATGTTTCTGACAATTTATAAACTTTCATAACAATATAATCAATTTACATGACGTTTCCCACGAAAGCTGACTGATTTAGACAAAAATGAGCTGAGTGATAGCTTGGTGGTGGTTGAGGCCAAACAACTGTCTGCGCTGGTCCCGCAATACTTCGAGGTCGTTTTGGTGTTTGAGAAATGAGCTGCCGATGGTAGCTGAATCGATTCAAGGGTCGATGATAGCTGATAGCTCCTGTACATGATGAGGAAGAGCAGTCCCTAACATTTGCTGTACCTAGAATGAGTGAGCTTAAAATTCTAATGAAATTCAGTGAAATGATTAGTATGTGATCAATTTTGATAGCATTTGAAAATAATCGTTGCATCATTATGTTGTCAGTGACTCCATTAATTCATCAAAAAGCGGAACCAGTGATTTTGAAGTTAATACAGCACTATATTTTGAAAACATATCTAGAAATAAAAGAAAACAGTCAGCAGATACCCTCGCTGGAATAGCGTTGAATTGGTTGAATGCGTGTTCCAGTGTACCCTGAAGGAATGTTATGAATGCTATGATAACTTTCCGTGACCGATTGCTCGTGTGTCTCACGTATTGCGATTCCCATATTTGCATTATCTTGAATGCGAGATTGTACAAGCTGTAAAACAATTAGACAACAATTTTAAATTTCTGCAAGTTTTCTATCTTTTTGAGCTGAGCTTTTCAATAATATCTAAATTGAAAAATGACCTGAAATATGGCTTCAGCTTGATGGGACTGAAATGTATGAAGGCCTTCACCACTACTACATCTAAAAAAACAAATATAATACGAAGGACAGTAAAATTGAACTGAAAAAAATTCAATAATAAAATTGTTAAGCTTATCAAATTTTACTAGTTCAGGACAGTATAATTTTGTGTATAATTTTTTCTTTTTTCGAAATAAACTTTGATTTCATTTTGCTATAGTACACACTTACGCAGAGGAATTGACACTGCAAAGACTACAAGTCTTATAATTAACTTTTTTTTTCGGTCAAATCTGTGTAAATGATAACATTCACAATAGCATTTCTTATTGCTTTATTGCTTATTTATAAAATGAGTGTTCATACTCGATAGTTCGGACCAAACAATTTCAGAAATTTCAATATTGCAGTAAGCACCACTCCAAATTTTTACTTATTTTTGATTTTTATGCGCAATTAATAATCAATTTTATAGCTTTTTTCTTGATCAGAAATAGGCACAAAAAAGAGAATGACAAATCAGTATATTTCGAATAAATGACTGCTTTTTTTCAACTTATGAATGGCAGACTACTTAACAACAGTTATCTATCAGTGATGAGCTAGTTTATGCCACTTATGCAGCATTGTTTTTCTAATTCATAAAATTTATTGGCAGTTCAGCTGGCATTTTAAAATATTTTTAAGACAAATATTTTCCTTAAAATATCATCAGAAGTGCAAAATTTTCTTTTTTCCAAATTACAAACATACTTCAAGTATACCCAACAGTGATTCATGAAATTTACGTTTAATGGTTATTTTAGACTCAACTGTTTTGACAGTTAAAAAAATTAGCAACTGTCAGAAATTGCTGCATTTTCAATTCCAAAATATATTTAATTATTTTTTTAAGAAAAGATCTTTACAAATTAAGATAAGTGTAATGGGAAAAAAAATGAGACACTGAAAAGGTAGCAAAACATAAATTAAATTATCATATTTCAATATTTTAAATAATATTCGAGAGATTTTGTGCAACATAATTATCAGGAACGGATAACTCCCTCGATGCAAGTTATATAATTGAAAGTTCTAGAAATAGAACAAATTTCTAATTATTTTTAAAGTTTGGATAGTCTAATATGTAGAATAAACAAACTAAAAAAATAGATGAATAAAAATATGAGAAATAAACAAACCGTCGTCCACTTTCAAAGAAGAAAATACCAGCTGACGTAAAACCATAACGACGTAAAAATTGTAATGGCCAATTTAGCGTTTCACAACGTGAACGAAGAAAAACAATCTCATTCTCGGTCACTTTCAATATACCTTACAATAAATTTAGGAAAAAATATGCGATAAAATAGTTAATTGAATTATGCTTTCTTATTTTTACCATTGCACAAAATGATGATTATCCATTCAAAATTTGATGTGGTTAGCATTTATTCTATAACGACTCAATGTTGTTAAAACTTTCCATAAATCCATCAACTTTGCCGGAAGCATAAAAAAGTAAATTGAAATTAAAATCAACGATTGCTAAGATAAATTGTTACATAATCAATTTTTCAATTCAGATTTATTTTTCACACAATTCGTTTTTTGCTTTAATTTACGACAACAAAATTTTACAATGCATCTTTTAAACCAAAAGTTGATACATCTCGATCAATGAGAATGCCAAACTCCAATTATTATTACAAGTATTATTGCTTTATTCAATCTGAATCTTTATTTTTGCGAGAACGAGTTCTTTTTGCATTTTGTGGTTTTGATTTCAAGAAAATCAAGTTTTTGCATACATTCATGAAAATTCAATCATAGTCTTTCATTTTATATTAGCTTTTAATGAACAGAAGCTTCATTCCACATTATTAAGCTTATAAGCTGAAATTAGAATGAGAAGTAATGTGCAAATGCAAATGAATACAAACCAGGGATGAATTTGCTGCGTTTTTTAACAAATACTTGAAAAGTTTCAAGATCATCAGTTACAAATATTCCTCCAGCTATTCTCGAATCATTGCCATTTGAAGCACTTTGTAAGCCTTTTAAAAATTCGCCCTGACCTGTTTGACTTACACAATTACCCATAGTGATATGTACACTAAAAGAAGATATTTGATAATAACAAATGAATAAATACAAATATGACTAAAAAATGTAGATGTAAATAAATTCATGAATCTAACTGAAAATCAATTTGATTTTAACTCTATCTGAAAATCAATTTGATAGTCTGCAGTTACATGACAATCTTAAGTCAAAAAACTTTTTTATTCAACCATTTGTTACCAAATAAAGATGTAATTAGATAAACTCATTACCAAGTTATAAAACTCAGAACATACAGTAAATTTAATCAAACAAGGAAGCATATTAAAACAACTTAAAAAATGTTTTCAAATTTGCAGACACTAATAAATACAAACGCGGAATCAAATAGCAGTTGAAGTGAAAAATGAATCATCTCAGTAGATGCAATAAAATAATATCAAATCTAAAGCATCAAGTGAATTCGATTTACTGCAACTATATGAATTAAACAGAGAATTAATTATTGAACCTTAAAGTAGTGATTAAGTTCTTAACCTCAAAAATATGACCTATCACGCTCGAAAATCACGAAAGTAGCTGAAATCTATCTGCAAAAGTTCACTTTTGCAGATAATAATGCATTAGTATACTGTGTAGAGATTTTTTGCGCTCTCCAAATCACATTATTCGAGAGCAATTAGTAATTTCTGAAAAAAAAGCATGACTGCAAAGACTGATCACAAAGTTTTATTCAGATTTAATTCAACGAAAATTATTCTTAATTAGAATGATACACGAAATACAATATTTTTGGTTCTTTTTAAATTTCATTTCCAAGTGTTGTTTGATTTTAATGTCATAAATATATTAGCAGAGAAAAGCAGTTCTGATTCTAATTATAGATCAGTTTTGATTCTAGTTTTAGATCAGTTTTGATTCTAATTATGGATCAGTTTTGATTCTAATTATAGATCAGTTTTGATTGTGATTTCAGCATGCCTGTGAGTGAAAATTTCACTCATTTCAGTTTTTTAATCAAAATTTTATAGATTTAGATAAAATTACTAATGCATTTAGTCCTTTCATAAATACAAAAACAAAATTAAATAATTATGGTGTGTGTTGACAATGTCGATAATGCTGATGAATTGTTTTAATAACAATAAGATATTCTAAGAAAATGCATAAAATTAATTGCACGAATAGAATATTTGATTGGAATAATAATTTACTGAACAGTAATAGTATTAAAATAGTTTAAGATTTTGAATTATTAAATGAATGCGTGGAAAGTGAAACTTAATTACAAAATAGTTTAAGATGAAAGATACAGTTAGATATAAGAACAAACATTTCCCCATATCAGTGAGGACTTTGCTCTTAGTCAACAGTGTACGATAAGTAATGGATAAAAATGGTAAATAATTAGAATTAAAGGATTGCAAGCAGATTAATAATAGCTAACAAGCGAAGGTAACGCAGAAAGTTGAAATAGTCGTCGAAAGTGAGTGATAAATCGCTAATTCAGTTATTTAATTCAAGTTCAACTGGTCTTAGAGCATTATTGCTATTCTTATTATTTTTATTATTCTTCTCAGCTTAATCCTTTTGACTACTGCTGCTATTATAAATGCTGATGCAACCATCAATCAATAAAAGCAATATTATTAAATGTTAGCATTTGCTATCATGATAATAATAGTAACCATTATTACTATCGTGATAGTAAATAATTGCAAAAATGATAATCGATTGAGCGAGTAAAAAGATGATAAAAGTTGAGCGTAAGTAACAGCTGTGGTGCTTTGTGTTGTGTGAGTTGAAATATGTTGTAAACTTTTTGGCAAGCTTTTAATATCAATCCAAGGTCTAGCCAAGGTGTATCTTGTACGAGCTTCATCTTTGTCTCTTCGCAAACTACCTCAAACGATGAGCAAAAGTGAGAAAAGATGCAGAAATAGAATCATTCATGCAACAATACCATCTATTTATCTCATTTGATGATGCTTATTGCATGAATATAAAAATATTATTATCGGCTACCAGTTAGCTGGTGCATAGTAAAGAATGACAAGTTTATTATTATATATCTGCTTGCTATTTGCTAATGTCTTTCTGTGAAATTACTTCTCCTTAAATATTCTTCAATTTAGGTAAATCAGTTATTAAATAAAATAATGCTGCTACAAACTTAACTGCATTCCTCGCCAGATAACATTCTACTTTCACTGATCAAACTATAATTTAATCTGCTTTTACTCTTTTGATGTTAAATATTTCTGAATTTCGAATATTATTGCTCAACTGTAGAAAATTTGAATATTAATGCATAGTTGAATAGTTTACAATGAAATTAGGAATTAAAAAGTGGTTCTTTTTTGAGTGCAGTGAATGTCATTATTATTTTGACTTAAATTACTTTACTTTTCAGATATCATAGTATTTTTGTTAAAAATGCTTACATTAATCATACTGTAGATGGGATTGTAAATTATTCAATCATAAGCTGCTGAAATAACGATAACTACTCCTCACATTTTCGTCATTAACACTGGACGCTCATCGTTACTTGAAAATCCCAGTAATAAACTATGTCTGCTCGATGTATCACATATGCTCGCATTTCACTAATTTACTTTTACCATTTTTTTTACTCAAATTTTTCGCTCTTTCATATGGTGACAGACTAATAAGAAAGTGAAAACATTTGACTTGCCGTTAGCAGTTTACCCACTATCATAATGCTATTCCGATTCGTAACATGTATTTATGCATGATTATGCTTATAGATATCTTACAGAATCTAACTGTTAGAATGAATACTTGAAATTAAATAAAACTGCATAATATAGAAAGGATAAACTTTTCGAAACGACAAACTTAAATGTACAACAATTAAAGGGAAGAATCGCTGGACATAAATCACACCAGCAGAACTTTCCATATTACTCATTTTACATACTGCTATCCAACTTTAAATCATGCATTTATCACCTTAAATGATTTACGTGACGTCTAGTAGACAACATTTGTCGGTTAGCTCTAGCGTTCGAGAATAAAAAATGTGCAGCAGTGGGAATGCGAAAACACCACAATACTGTGAAACGTGCTCATCAAATCACTTCGTGATCAACTAAAATTAATTCCTTTACAAAAAATTAGCCCCATACTAGTGTGCTGCAATAGATGCAATTTTCATAAAGGTTAACGCGTCGTTGATTTTCAAGAGTGTTTTAAAAATATGCTACGGTAAGCTATACGGTAACAAATAGAACGTTCTAGAAGTTTCTGGAAAGTTCGAAAGCTGACATAGAAAAAAAGATAGGAAGGTAGACGTTGGGAAAGAACAAATATGATTTGATTTACGATGGGGGGTTAGAAAGACCATTGTAGGCAAGCAGACAACTGCTTTACTCGTTTCATTCATTAAGTTACTTTCATTTATTATTGTGACTGCGAGTATTCGAAATAATTGTGCCTTGTCTTTCTCTAACACTTACTGCATTTAGTTTGTAAATTTTATCATGATTATTTCAACGTGATCATTGTTTAAAATTAGGTGGGTACGCCAACTGCTCTGTGTTATGCCATTGATGCGATTTTCGCTTTTTTTGGCTTTCGTAGTTTTCTTATGTTCACATAGTTTTGTACATTGAGTATTACATTACAGTCTTATACTGTCAAACTTTCATTTACTGAAGGATTTTAGGATGTCAAGTGCAACATATTTAGTTGTTTGTTATTGCATCGTCCTCTATTAATATTATTTACTTTCATGCAATTCTCATCTGCAGCTACTTAATAGTTTTATTTTAATTATTTTCGTCATTATTAGTCAACACATTCGTATAGTAAAGCTTATTTGCTTAAATCTCATCATACGCGAAGGGAAGCCTGTACTGTTATTGATCATTTTTTGAGGGTATTTTTTTGCATTAGCAGTGGTAACATTTCATCAAATCATTCAGACACATTATATTTCTGCTTATTATCTATCTGTAGTTTTCCTCACTTTGTTCAAGCACTATGCACGTCTTTCTATTCCTCTTTTTGGTATTTGATTTACTTTACTGTTGCGAGTCAGAGTTCATTTTAAAAAACATTTTCGGTTTTTCAAGCATAATTAGTGATGGTTGTATGGAAAGTTGAAATCGCCAACAGTTTTACTGACGATTAAGTTTTGACATTCATTAACTTGATTTTTATGTTTTCTCATCTTACTGCTGCAATTATTAGTCAAATAATTATTGTTCAAAGTAATGAGCATTGGCGTAGCGTAAAACTGTTCATTCTGTCATGTTTTTTTTTAGCCGACAAAACTAATCAAAAGGAGATATGGGCAAGGATTATTATAAAATATTAGGAATTACTAAGGGTGTTAGCGATGATGAGATAAAGAAAGCGTATCGTAAAATGGCTCTGAAATACCATCCAGACAAAAATAAAGAATCGGGTGCTGAAGCGAAGTTTAAGGTTTTTATTTATTTGTCTTGAGACGATTACACTCCTTTTAAATGTCGGGACTTTCATTATTTGATATGTGATTGTAGTTATTTAATGGCAGGAAGTGGCGGAAGCATATGATGTCTTGTCAGATCCAAAGAAAAGAGAAATATACGACAAATATGGCGAAGATGGCTTGAAAAGAGGAGAGGGAGGCTTCGGAGGTCCCGGTGGTGTTTATTATGAATTCCAGTAAGCTTTTAAAGATTATTGGTAATTGTTTTCTTATCATGAAAATTCATTACATTAAAAGAATGTTTCTTTCCTAAAATGTATTTGTTATTGGATCAGAATTCAGCTGTATCTCAATTATGAAATGGTTCGTTTTGTCATTTTCTCGAGAAAATTTTTATAGAGGAGATCCACTGCGAATGTTTGCTCAGTTTTTCTCTGCTGATGATCCTTTCTCCTCCTTCTTCGGTGGAAGCGGTGCTGGGAGCGCTGGTGCTGGGCCACAGATTTTCTTTTCAACCCATGACGATGATAGTTCTTTTGGTACATTTTAATTTCTCTTATAAAATGACAGGAATCAGTATATAAATTAGTTCTTGTAAGCGCTTTGTTCCTTACGTATTGCAGGAACGAGTTTTGGAATACCGCCACATTCACGACGACAGCGTCAAGATCCAGTTGTCCAACATGAACTCCTTGTTTCCTTAGAAGATATTTATAAGGGCTGCACCAAGAAAATGAAGATTACGCGGTATTTTATTTTGTCTCGTACTTATTTTTTAGTTTGTTTGGACTTCATGTGTGCAAAACGTGATAATTGAGCAAAATTGTGTTTGTAGGAGGGTATTATGCAACGATGGGCAAGTGTCACGTATGGAAGATAAAGTATTAACTATCAATATTAAGCCCGGTTGGAAAAGTGGTACAAAAATTACATTTCCAAAAGAAGGGGATCAGCATCCAGGTCGAGTTCCTGCCGACATAGTGTTTGTTATTAAGGACAAGAGCCATCCTAAATTCAAGGTTTTTCTGGGATTTTTTTTTTTTGAGTAGCTCTAGAACATATTTTATACATAAAATATGCAAGAAAATATATTCAACTCCTGTACTGTTTGATATATATTGTTGGTTAAGCGAGAAGGTGCGGATATACGCTACGTGCACAAAATATCGCTTCGTGATGCATTGTGTGGAACAGTAGTACATGTTCCTACTTTAGATGGGGCTTTACTTCCGCTACGCATCAATGAAATCATCAAACCAAATACTTCTAGACGGTAAACTTGTTTTTTCAGTGTGTTGTTGTGACCGTCGTTTTTTCTTCATATAAAACAGCTGTATCTAAATTTTGTTTATTTCTGTTCAGCTGGAAAATATAAATCTCCAAAATACGAATGGTTTGCAGCCTTTTTTTGAATAAACGTTGCACATTACTTTTAGTCCATATATTGTGTATTTCATGTTTTCAGGCTTACTGGACATGGTTTACCCAATCCCAAAATGGCTGGACGCAGAGGGGATTTGATCGTTGATTTTGATGTAAAGTTCCCCGATTCAATTTCATCAGCGTCTAAAGAATTGATAATGAACGCTTTGCCAGCGTAATCAAATTACAGACTGACTTTATTGTACAAGCTTCAAGCTTTCTCCTTCTTTCTCAAATGAATATTCCTTACTGCAGTTTATTAGCATACTTCCGTGTTTGTAAAATATGTAGCTTCTTAGCAACTAATTTTTATAAAATGCGGATTTGAAAGTTATCAGTTTCATCGTTGCAAGTATTCTCTGCTGCAAAAATTGTATGAAAGAACTGACAATAATGCTGTGTCTGTGCATGTTTATATTGAGCCAGAATATTACAAATATTCTCAAGGATAGGTTCATGTGCAGATTTTATGCAGCATTATATAGTTGCTCACTTTATTGGTTTTTCATAATATTATTAAACTTTACCATTTGTACATCTCAAAAGAAATCGAAATAACCATTATGTAGATGGCTGTCATTCTATTTGAATGTAATTTATTAATGACTCATATCCGTTTAATTTTATCATTTTGGTGGTTTTTAAACAGGACTTTATGGTTCGTTTGAAATTCACTGCGCGATGAGGCTTTGTGTATCACTGCATTCGGACGTGCTCGTGAACTTCTGTTTTTGTTTTTCATATGGTTTGGCATAGCTTTATATTTTTTAAATCTAATAGGTTCCCAAATCTGATTATCCGGGTGTTGATGGTTTTAAGTGAAAATTATGTCATTTGATGAAGTTTTGTTAAACACTTGAATTTAAAATCGAGATCTAGTTCTATAAAATTGAGTTGGTTTAAGGAAAAGTTATTAGTCTTACGGTGAGATGATATGTGTTGGATCTTAGTGGTTACATCCGTTTTTGTAAGTAAAGTGCTGTTTGTTTAGGTATAAATACTGTGTTACTAGGTAGACCGTTACATGCCAATTTTTTTGGTAGTTCGAAATCACTTTAATTATTGATGTGTTTACCGTGAGGCGGAGAATCTCCCAAATTTATGTGTTGTCCAGGATTTGTATCGGCATTTTTGTTTCCGTTACTGATATAAAACGTCATTCCGGCAAATTCTTTGAAATTGTGAAGGATGTGAGATTTGAAATCCTTATTGCGTTAAGTTTTGGATTTGAGTTGATGGACTAAAGGTGCTGTGGTGGGGGCAGTGTTTATGATGAGATAACTTTATGTAATGCACTATCGCGGAATAAGCAGGAGAAAGTTGTGATATTGTTACAGTGAAGTGGAAAACAAGGGTTTTGTATTTTGAGCATTGTCTGCTTCTGGAATGTCGTATTTGCAATCGGTCATTACTGAATGACGGATAAAATTCATAGAAGATCTATGGTTACTGCGGTTCTCTGTGATGATGGACGGTTATAAGCTAGCAGATGCAGGGTAATTCTCTACTTGGCAGGCATTGGTACCCCGTTCAATTCTGAAAAAACCCTGCTCACCCCACCTGAAAGTTCATTATTTGTTATATTCCAGTAGATTCTTAGGTTCATTCAATTAACTTTCCAGTAAAGGAAACTTTATCAGAAATCGGCATTAGCGGGAGATAAGACTTACCAGTCACCCCAGCTATTTTTTATTATCCAATACTTCCTACCGTTCTCCATACCGTAGCCGACCACTGCAGCTGCATGATTTGGTGTCATTATCCAGCATTCATAAGCATCAGATAATATCCCAGATTTGTAAAATTTGTATTGTTTCGGAAATACAAAATCTGTTTTGAAATAATAATGACTGCTAGGTCAACATTATAATCATTAAAATGGAAATTGATTTTTAGAGTGATAAGTGGGAGTAGTCTTGAAAGTATTGCTTATTATTTATTTTTACTAGATTAAGTTTTTATGAAGGGACGTTATGGAAGATTAACGAGCAAAGATGAGGGGCAAGAAAAACACTGTAGTTCACTACATACTAATCAAACGCAGTAGTTCACCTGACTAAGTTGAAAGTGTAGAAGTCCTAATCTTGTGCCTCTTATTTTTATTGAGACTTCTTCTCAAAATGCAAATGACAAAACATACTTAACACAGCTGGTCCATTGTGTGAAACAAACCAAGCGATAGCGTCTGCGTGTGGATCAATTCGATACAAATTTTTAATGAAAAATTGACCACGTAGCGGACAGAAGCTACGAGTTTCTAACATTACTGGGTAATCCATCATGTGCGTGAAACCAATATACTTTCCTCGTCTGCAAAGAAAGCTCTACAGGAAACTTGTGATGCTTGTTAGTTAGTCATTAATCTTAGAAAACATCATGTGTCCTTGGTATGGAAGTATATCGATAATTTGGTTACTGTTGTCGAGTAAAATGCTTAGTTTGCATTCTAATAGCTTAGTCTGGTTTTTTTGAGTAAAGCGTTAAATTAATTCCGAAAGAGTTGTAATGAAGAAACAAACCGTAATTGAAAAAGGAATTTTGAACAGATGAATTTGTGATTTGTTCCGAAAATAGTATAAGATATATCAGTTCTAGAAAATAATGAGATAAGACTAACTAACAACATTGATTTTTTAGTACTACCACTCCAACATCCGAAATTTGTTAAATCACAGTCAACCATTTCATGCTCAGATATGCTAATAAACTGATTGTACTTTATTGCAAAGAGGGATTCAACTACTGCTGCTACCGCGTATGCATAGCATGAATTACACTGATATGCTGAAACATATTCACAGATTGCTAATGAGAGTCAATAATTTGAATTAGAAAATCAGGTAGGACTAAGGAAATGATTCTTCCTAAATGAATAAAAAACAGGCAAGTAAATGAAAAATTTTTATCTCATTTTTTGGGCAGAATCTTGATGAAATAAATTACTGATATTACTAACATTGTGTTTTTACAGCAGTTATAACGCCTTCTAGTCTCCAGTCCCAAGTGGATGGATAAGGTGAGCCATCATGTGCAATGCGAATCCAGTCGTGATCATAATGATGAAAAGTGCGATTTTTTGATGCAATGAGTGGGCGAGAAAACTTAAATATAATTAAGACGGAAAATGGCACAGAGCAATTAATTAGTGAGAAATTAAAATCGCTTTTCTTTTTTTCTTATTACAAATTCAAATTTATCATTGTCTTTTACTTATCAAATACCGAAAACATTTATGAACTTCACAAGTTAAATTGAAGCTAAAATTTGTTAACAGATGAAAACATATAAGAAAAAAAAACTTGAAACAAACGTACAGCGTCAAATTCGTTCTCTGTCCAATCAGCAAATTTTGTGATTTCATACACAGCGGAACTGCTTTCATAATTTGACTTTTCGATAAGCAATACATTTTCTTGAAAAACTTTCAATCGTTTATCGTAACCAATCGGATCAATATTAAAATCACGGGGATATCTGAACCAGTTAAGTTTTCATTACATATGAATACCAAAATTGTCTCCAAAAAATTCAAAAAAAAGTAGAAGAAGATTGACAAATCAATTTGTGAAAAAAAAATGTAAAATTCTTGTGAAACACTTTTTTAACTGTGAAATTTAGACTGTGAATATAAATTAATAACTACATACATACTTGATTAGAAATTGGTCATAAAGTTCTTGAATTTGTGTTTGGTTGTTCATCGTTAACTCTTCAATAGTGTATCGCTGTTGTACAAGAAGAAAAGAAACCAATAAAATCCTTTCCATTGCAAAACTAAAGATCTCGATTAACATTTCTAGTCGATTTTCTACGTAAAATTAGAAAATTTTGAATGTGATCGAGTTGATCCGATGTTGATCAATGTTGATAACTAACTTTTTTAATCAAACAAGTAATTACTTCCTACTTGAAATCAAAAATAGGCATCAGAAAACCTTGTTAAACAGATCTCCTCAATTCGACACCGACAATTTGTTGAAGAAGAAAGAGGAAGAAATATTATTGTATTTGCTTTGAAAGCGCAGTAATATTATTGTTTTCAATATTGTTCTTTCTTTTATTTCAAGATTTATTATTTTTCATCAGAAAACAACCAAAAAACAAACTTTTTGTTGATAATAAATTTGATTTTGAGTAGCAAACATCAAAAGTATGTATTTAGAGCATAATTTGAAACTTTTTAAATTTCAGTCAGCTCCTTTTATTAAACATTTCTTTTATTAAAAAAATATGTCCTTTAAAAAATCGAAGTACTAAACATATAAAAGCTGAAAAGTTTACTTTGTTAAGCAAGAATTATATTGCAATTTCATGAAATTGAAATGCTTTTTCATTCGCTTTTCTTTTCTAATTATTCCACCTATCTCGTTTTCATGCCATATGATGTTGTAATCGCTATTTTCATCATTGAATTCTAATATATTTCTTTTTTTACCAAGTTTACTAATCATTATCATTGCTACCAAGCATACAATGATATAAAGTATGAATTAAATCAGTAGAGAAATTTTATTCAAAAATTAATTATATTATTACTGATAAAAATGTTGACAAAAAAACTATTTAAAAAAAATTTTTTTAACATAATTTCTTATGTCATCATATAAGAGTTTATCTTATGCTACAAAATTAGTCATTGTTTTCAATGATCAAAAGTAATGAATATTACACCAAAGTAAAGATTTATATAGAAATTATCTTGATAAGACAGTATCGTGCTTGATCTACTTTATAATGTTTCCGTATTGTAACCTTATTGATAAATTAGTTATTGATGATGGATTTACTTTTGTATTTTTAGGTTGCTAATACGTTTTCAATGGTAGGATTTTCTGCGAGGTTATACCTAGTCTTTAGATAGGGCACAATAATTACCAAATACGTGCGATGAGCTTTCTCCTGCTTCAGAATCGCTGCTCTTCCGGTACAAATGGGTACGATATCTACAAGAACATTATGTAGTTGGAGAAGCATAAGCTCACTCTTCCGCTCAACATTATGAAGTCCACGTCCTAGCTCGTCCTTTGGCAGATGCAGTCTTTCCAAGCATGCAGGTTGCGTGTGAATTTCGTATTTGATTAGTAACTCCCTGATATTGCAGTCTATAGCTTTAAAGTCTTCCGGCTCCAGCTTGAGCACTCTGACGTAATAATTTATTAAACTTATGGCGTGCTCATTCACAACCTTGATAAAGTTCTTGCCATTTAGTGCAGTTTTGGCTAATCGCTCAATTCTCACTAAAATCTCTGCACGGACTTTATCGTTGTTTTCATCGGTAGATGCACTAGTCCTCTCTTCCACTATTCCAAGGTATTTGTATCCTTGAATTCCTTCCAACAGCGCCGCTTTATCAGCGCATATATCGATGTTAGTGGCTGACTTTCCTTGAATTCATCTCTAGGCCTACACATCAAGGAACCTCTGAACTTTTTCGATCACAGATTTCATGGTATCCTCATTGGTCGCAAAGATCTTGAAATCAACAAATGATAAATGGTTCATAACGTGCATTCCTTCGGTACCTTATATTGAGTTCACAGTAATCCCTACTGTATTTTCTTCTTTATTACAGCTTCTTTATTCAAGTACAAGGGCCAATCTTGGTGGTGATGCTTCTTAGAAAACTGCCGATCCCCTCTGGCATATTAAGCCTTTCAATGCACTTAATAAAATAATCGTAATGAACTGAACCAAACGCCTATTTGATGTAATACCAGGTTTGTATGTCTAACTTTCATAATTTGCTAACGAAATACTATGGGACGTTGCCACGAGGAAATCACTTCCAGATTACTACTTGCAATAAATCTGGGTTTCCTTGCTTTGTAAATACCGGCAGGTTCAAACAGTGCCTGCTCTTTCGCATCTTGGACCTAGCAAACAGCTGCTAATTGCAAATATCCAACTGCATGATACATGCAGTTGGATATTGTTACAAGGATACACTTCTGCCATACACTTCGTTGTCAACTTTGGGAAGGTTCGACATACAAGTTATTGGCCTGAAGTCGCTGCCTTCGTTCGGAACATTATTAAAAATCAGATACATTGTTCCTTTGTAGAACCATGGGTCCTGTTCCTTCCCATCCAAGCAAATCCGCCTAGTTAATTTGTGGAGATCTGAATGTAAGAAGGTGCACTTCTTAATAAAGAAGTTGTAGATTTTAGTAGGCGCTGCCTCTTTTCAACTGGGCATATAGGAGACTATTTTCCCAAACTCAGCTTTAAATGAGAAAGTATCATGTACTTCATGATCCGGAAGGATGTCTTCCAGATAATCGTTGTGCCGGATATCATCATCCTTTACCATCCCTGAGTTCCACATCGTAACCCAGAACTCCCTGATTTCTTCTGTCTGACAGACTATTCATCGGTCAAATTTCTATAGAATCGTCTACTAAACAACTCAAATAAGGCGTTTTGAATGCACACCGGGTCTCATAACTATTAATTTTACTTTCGTAAACCCTCACACAGTCTGTCAATATGCTTAACGCTTCATGACAGTCACGCTTAAGAGCAAGTATGAAATTCATCTCCCTCATACACTTCTTGGCCTGTTTTAAATCTGTATCTCCCAGTTTTTCACCGGCCAAAGTCCGTTCTATGAGGGATTTGTGGAAATTCAGCAAGCTTATCTTTTTTTTCTATGCTTGCTTTCCACTTCGATAGCTTCTCTCGTCTTGTCATGACTCCATAGCATAACAATCAACCAACCATTTCTTCGCTCGATCAGTAAATCAATAATTTGCCATGCAGTGTGATTCAGAATTCATCCAGTTTATAGTTTGTACATGGCAGTTACTGCAGTTCTTTGTCCAGCAAGATAGCAAACACTTTCTCAGTGAGTAAAGAATTTAGTTTAAGACAGAGCAAAATCTTTAAATTCGTTGTGGGAGAAACTATTGCACGGTCACTGACCATATTGAAGCTGTTAATAAATTATTCGTTAGTATGAATTTGCTCTGCACTCAAAATCACTTGTAACGTGAGCAAAAAAATATCACCATAATCTGTCGTTGAATTATGAGTTTCATGAAAACAATTAAAATTTTCAGAAATTTTATTTCTTGCAAGACTGCAAGTTCACAGAACCGTATTTACAAACTTACAAAATATTTGATGAAAATGAGTCACTGCAAAATCCAATTAGCCGTCAAGTATGGGATACTTTACACTTCTACGGCATTAGTGAAGCAATTATGAAGAGTGCGGTATCAACAGATGCCGGGAGTGCTGTCATCGGAATATATCGCATGATATTTCATCAAGTGCAACAAAATCACGAATATGAGGAAAGGAAAAGAGTTACATACATTTTCATTTATTTAAATAATTGTCTGCAATTGCAGTATAACAATTAGTCATTTTCAATCATCCACACTTATAATTTCGTATTAATTTGAATTACTATTATTACTTTTTTATAAGATGAATTACTTTTGTACTTCAGTTACACAAGTTCCCATTAGTTAACGCATATGGAACAGTGAGATGAAGTAAATGAAGCCAGAGTGGCATGCATGTAAACATAAATAGAATTAATTTTTTCACTTCACTAGTTACAAACTTATGGCAGTATTTTCGCAAATTTTCGAACCAACCCCGGTATAACAACTTCAGATTCAAACACACTATGAAGTAGCAAGAAAGAAGAAGTCAGCTGCAGTCACTGATAGTAAAACATGCTCACTTGTATAGCATTGCTACTTTTCATTCAGATCATCCTGATTATTAAAATAAATTGGAACCATACATATAACTTAGAAACACTTGACCATATTAATTAATTCATTCAAAATGCTTTTCCTTTTCATGTTACATCTTTTTACTTTATTTTTCAATGCTTAAGTTGTCTTTTTTGTTACGCAAGAAAACAGAACTTGACGTTAATAAGTAGTCCTAACATATGATGCTCGTTCATTTCATCTAAAAGATTGATCACTACTTTAGTAGTCAGCAATCTCTTAGATAAAAAAAATGCTTGCTCGCTATCATTGTGCATCACCAGCTTTGGAATGTATACAGAAAGTTATGATTATAACGCAGATCATCATTTTTCGCACTGATTCATAATTAGATATCTTGTGCAGAAAATACGTCTTCTGATTTTCTGTTTTAATACTAGAAAATGAAAGAGAGATAGATAGATGATTTCTGCTGTCGTTTGATTTACTTTGTTATTGATTGCAACAGAAAAGCAGTTAGTCCGCGTGTGCTGCTAACTTGGCTATTGTACATTTTAAATTTGCGTTGCCTTGCAAGACCTCTTTTCATCATTTAAGTAAAAATTACATCACGTTGCTTTGCTGGTATATCTAAATGCTGGTTCCATTTCTAAATGCAAGTTAGATTGTAGTTATTTCACTGATATGTTTAATGATGAGTTGTGTTTGCATTGTTTGTTTCTAACTTGCGAGTTTACAACTGTACCAGTGCAATCAAATATGAGCACAACTTAAAATACCGTGTACTGAAGGCTGGGCAATCAATTCCCGTTTGAAGAATGAAACAAGAAGTTTTAGCTTGATTTTGTTCAGTTAAGTGAAAACTTGTTATTTTATAGATCGGCAATTTTCAGTACATGCATCGAAATGAGTTGTATGCAAGAGAAGCCATTTTTTAATGCTTGAAAATGGATTGATTACGTGCATCACGCAATCGTTGTATAGAAAACTTTTTTAGTCACCAGTCATATTTGGAATTGTTATTTACTGTACTGTGAGTATTGATGATTGCATCTAATTTCACAAATGTAGTGGGTCAGATAACTAACGTCTTACCCTACATGTGCTTCATCATTATCCTTCTCCTTGGATACTTGATAACGATTGCTTTCAATTCTGAAATTCATTTTCGATGTTTTCTATTCAAGAATGGCATACTTTTAAATTCATTTCCAGCAAATCACTAATACTTCTTTATAATAAATTGCAGTATTAAGTGCTTCTCGAATCACTAAAGCAATTAATGTCATACATTACTTAAGGTAGAAAAATCAGCTAACTCCGTGTTTTCACTACATATATTATTACTGTTTACAAAATTTTTTGCATTTGTGTACTTTCATTACTTTTATCCCCATTTGTATTCTCGTCCCAATGAGCTACAGTAATTGGAAAGGCAGGAAAGCTGTCAAAAAAGCATTAGCAGCCTGCTTTTTGTTGTCTGTGAAATGAAAACATTTCAAATTTGTTTGCACGCTTCTTTATTACTTGTATCTTCGCTATAAGCTAATATTTACTGCATTTACAGCTGTAAGGCTCTGAGATACGAATGCGCGAACAAACGAAGCATTTGCATCAAACGATACAAAAATTTTTGTAAAACACTTTGTTCGAAAGCAATATCATTAATTGTGGCAATTATTCCATCCCTCCCATCTCATTTGAAATTTTTATGGAGCTAGTGTTGTATCTCCATCTGATGACTCTATTTTATCCGGAGCATTTGTGGTACTTGGTGAACTTGCCGTACCCGGTTGCCCTATATCACCTTTCAAGCCCGCTGGTCCAGCTGGACCTGGTACTCCTTTCTCACCTGCAGCACCTTTATCGCCTACTTCGCCTTTTGCACCGGGT